CTCCTCCTCCTCCTCCTCCTCCTCCATCCTCCTCCTCCTCCTCCTCCTCTCCTCCTCCTCCTCCTCCTCCTCCTCCTCCTCCTCCTCCTCCCTCCTCCTCCTCCTCCTCCTCCTCCTCCTCCTCCTCCTCCTCCTCCTCCTCCTGGCCCGCGGTCCTCACCAGGGTCAACCGCGCCTACTACGAGGTGGCCAAGATGTTGCTGGCGGGGGCCACGCGGCCGTGGTCGCTGGGCCCGGGCGGGCACGTCCGCGCCTTTCTGGAGGCGAGACTCCTCACCCGGCTTGGCACCAAATTGACCAAGCGGGTCATCACGGCCAGGGCCCGGATGCTCCTCCTCCCCCACCCGTCGCCCATCTCGGAGGTGCTCCAGGCGGCGGTGGCGTCCCCGGGGGTGCGCACCTGGCTGAGCGACGCGGAGGAGGTAGCGCGGGGCGTGGGGATCGCCGAGTGGCCGGCCCCGGAGCCGGGGGCCTCCCCTGCGCGACGGCGGGCGCTGGTGCGCTCATGGACGGCGCGGGTGGTGGACCCACTCATGGAGGCGGCGGAGGCGCGCTGGTTCGCGGAGCAAGTCGGCCGGCTGGCGGACACAGGGCTGCTGCCGCTGGTCGCGCTCCTCCCGCTCCACCAGCCGTGGGCTCCGGAGGTCCGCTTCGCGCCGTGGTCCCAGGCCATGTGGAAGTACCACAGGGCGTGGATGGTGGCGCGCGTGTCGGGGGCCATCCCGGGGGTCGTCTGGGGCGTGGAACTCCAGCCTGTCCCGGGCGAGGCGTCCGCCCTCTGCGGCGGCGAGGCAGCTGGCCTCCACCACCTGCTCGCGGATTGCCCGGTCGTCGACGCATTCCGACGCGTGCTGCGGGCGCGCGTGGGCGACGCCGCCCTGGCTTGCGGCGTCCCCGAGTGGGCCCTCTCCGACACCGCGCACCTCGCCGAGCTCGCGCTGAAGGTGGAGTTCGTGGGGAGGGTAGCGGGCGCCCACGTGCACGCGCGCAGGGCGTAGAAAAGCCGCCCCCCCCTACGCCATCGCCTCCGCCCTCGGTCGCCGTCGCCGCCGTCGTCTCCCGCGGCGCGTGGCCCCGCGGGCGCTGGATTCTGGGCCGGCGGCGCCGCGACCCAGAATCGGCCCCCCGGCGGTTGGGCGCGCGGGGGCGTTTCTGGGCCGACGGCGCAGCGGCCCAGAATCAGCCCCAGGGAGCCTGGAAGCTGTGGGGCCGCGCGTTGGGTCAGCGGGGCGGCGCCCGGCCAGGCCGGCCGGCCCCGCCCGCCGCCGCCGCCCCCCCCTTGTCGCCGCCAGCCCAATCGCAGTCGCCGCCATCGTCGCCCGCGGCGCGCGGGCCCGCGGGCGCTGGATTCTGGGCCGGCGGCGCCGCGACCCAGAATCGGGCCCCGGGCGGCTGGGCGCACGGGGGCGGATTCTGGGTCGTCGGCGCGGGGGCCCAGAATCAGCCCCAGGGCGCCTGGCTGCCGGGGGGCCGCGCGGTGGGCCGGCGGGGCGGCGCCCGGCCCGGCCGGCCAGCCCCGCCCGCCGCCGCCCCCCGCGTCGCCGCTTGTCCAGTCGCCGTCGCCGCCGTCGTCGCCCGCGGCGCGTGGGCCCGCGGGCGCTGGATTCTGGGCCGGCGGCGCCGCGACCCAGAATCGGCCCCCGGGCGGTTGGGCGCGCGGGTCAATTCTGGGTCGACGGCGCGGCGGCCCAAAATCAGCCCCAGGGAGCCTGGAAGCTGTGGGGCCGCGCGTTGGGTCGGCGGGGCGGCGCCCGGCCCGGCCGGCCGGCCCGCCCGCCGCCGCCGCCCCCCCCTTGTCGCCGCCAGCCCAGTCGCAGTCGCCGCCGTCGTCGCCCGCGGCGCGTAGACCCGCGGGCGCTGGATTCTGGGCCGGCGGCGCCGCGACCCAGAATCGGCCACCGGGCGGCTGGGCGCGCGGGGGCGGATTCTGGGTCGACGGCGCGGCGACCCAGAATCAGCACCAGGGTGCTTGGACGAGGCCCGACCGCGGGCGGTGCGCCGCCCCGCCCTCCTTCCCTCCCCCCGCCGTGCCTGCTCCGCCCCCTCCCCCCCCCACTCTGCGCCCCCCGCCTCCTCAGGGAACGCTGTCGCGCCTGCCCCGGCCTGCCCGGGCAGGGCGCTTCAACGTCAGCAGCGCGTCCCCGCCGAGCCGTCCCCGCCGGGCGTAGAAACGCCCCCCCCGTGATTCTGGGTCGCCAGCGCCGCGACCCAGAATCGGCCCCGGGGGGCCGGGGCGCGCGGGGGCGGATTCTGGGTCGACGGCGCGGCGGCCCAGAATCGCCAGCCGAGCCGGGGCCGCTGCTGGACCGCGCCCCCGTCTCTCCCGCCCCTGCCCCTGCCCGCTCCGCCTTCTCACCCTCCCCCTCCGTTCCTTTCCCCCCTCTTCAGAGGGCGCTGTCGCGCCTGCCCCGGCCTGCCCGGGCAGGGCGCTTCAACGCTGCCCGACGCCCTAGCGATGCGGCCCCATAGGCCTGTCGGGCACGGAGGAGCTTCGCGGGGCGGTCCCCTCAACCATCCCACGAGGGTTGGTTGGCCCACGACATTCCTGATGTCCAAATTCTGATGTCCTCCTCCTCCTCCTCCTCCTCCTCCCTCCTCCTCCTCCTCCTCCTCCTCCTCCTCCTCCTCCTCCTCCTCCCTCCTCCTCCCTCCCTCCTCCTCCTCCTCCTTCTCCCCCTCCCCCTCCTCCTCCTCCGCCTCCGCCTCCTCCTCCTCCTCCTCCTCCTCCTCCTTCTCCTCCTCCTCTGTCGGGACCGCGCAAAAATGGATTAGCGATCCATGGACTTGGCGCGCGGTCGGTCGCCAAACCCATGCATCGGGGGAGGTGCCCTCCCCAAAATGCGACCGGTGCCGCCTCGTTCGGCGCCAGAAAGCCACGCGTTTCCATGGAAGCGGGACCCGTCGCTAATCCACGCCCCCTTGATCCATGTTTGCGATCGCCTGACAAACCAAGTGGTGAGATATCAGGTGGTGACCTGGAATCCCCCCAAAAGTCACCGCTGGGCTTTGGAACGCCGGGTCGCCGCTGGGTTTCGTGACTCCTTGACGCACCAACGTTCGGGACATCCTCGACGAACCACACGCGTCACCGAACCGGGTGGTGACACCAAATCGGCCCAGACTCACCGCCAGGCGTTGTCACCATCACGTTTGGGGACCACCAAATTTCGCCCCAGGTTCATGTCTGATGTCCCCCGACCGGAACACGACACCCTGAGACTTAGGTCGGGCATGTCCCCCCCTACAAGCGGATTTTGGACGATAAATAATAAAACATTGTCAGAACAAGTCTCCCCAATTGTCAAAAATAATTTTTTAAAAATCGCCCCCAGACGATTTGTTTTGACTATTTTGGAATATTCCTCGTGTAGAGGGACAGGCCCGACTGAACCCTGAGACCGAGGTCAAATCACAAGAGCTGCTGGCAAAAATCACGTCGCCGGGGATCTGGGCCCGTCTCCGCCCCCCCATTTCCTCCTCCTCGTTCCCCCCTCCTTCTTCCCCTGAGATCCGACGAGAAACATGCGCCCTCACGAAACCTCGCGACTGAAGAACAAGACCCCATCTTTCTCATGCATTCGTCAAGCCATATCGGTATTCGACGCTGATAGGGCCCCAAAGTGTGCGACAACGCCCGTTGTGTGAGCACTGCGACGCCTGGCTCTCAGGGCCCCCCCCCGCCCCGCCCTTTCCCTCCCTCCCTCCTCCTCCCTCGCCCCGCTTGAAGGCAAGCTCTTCACAACGGCGCTTGCCTCCCAAACCCGCTGCCTCCAGTGAGCTCGCCACCTCCCTCCGCCGCGGGGGCCGCCTTGCGGACGCCTCCCAGCGCCTCCTCGCGGGGTGGCGCAGCCGCACCTGCGGCGCCGAGGCCGCCCCCGGAGAACGAGGAGGAGGAGAGGAGGAGGAGGAGGAGGTGGAGGAGGAGGAGGCGGAGGAGGAGAAGGAGGAGGAGGGCTCCCGCAGGCGCGCGGAAGCCCGCGGCCCCGGCGCTCAGAGCGGAGAGACCCCGTCCCAAATCTCCTACGGTCCAGGCGTTCGTCCACGATCGGCGACGCCCTAACCTTACGTGGGTCGGGCATGTCCTCCTGCAGGCGGATTTGGGGCGAAAACTCGAACACGATCAAACATACCCCAATACTAGTCAACACCACGAGAAAATTCCCCCCCGACCATTTTCTTACTATTTATGAATTTTCCTCTAGAAGGACATGCCCGACCTAACCCTCACCCGGGTCAGCACGAGCCCGAGTCGGCCAGGGCCCCGTCACGAGGCCTGGCTCGCCGCTTGGTATCTCTCACGCCTGGGTCGGCGGAGCGCGGACAGGGGGAAGCGTTCCGACGTGGCCGCCAAATCTGGGTCATCGAGAAGGGACTGGCTGACCCCCGCGTCAGCGCTCACCCCCGTTACCGTTACGCGATCCGACCCAATCTGGGCCTTCAGGGCATGCTGCCGGGCCCGGAGTGGGAAAGTGGGCCAGGGGAGGGGGTCGGGACATCAGAGCCGCGAATTGAAGAGCACACATCGTCGGATGTGTGGGGGTCCCCCTCGATCCTCGATCCTCCCCCTGGAGCCTCCTCGATCCTCGATCCTCCCCTAGGCCCTAGCCCCCTCGAGCCTCCTCGATCCTCGATCCTCCCCGAGCCCTCGAACCTCGATCCCTTCCTCCTCGCCTCTGTCGCGCGCGGTACCCCGCGGCCCTGGCACTGGGATTCGGTCGGGCATGTCCTCCTACATGCGGATTTTGGATGAAAAAATCAAAATAGTCCAGAAGTGTCCAAAAAGATATTCAAGCATTGTCCAACAATCGTTGCCGTATTATTTTTGACTGTGTTTGAATATTCCTCCTGTAGATGGACACGCCCAACTGAACTCTGGGAGAAGCTCGGTCCTCCTCGATCCTCGCGCCTCTTCTTGTCGCGCAGAAGCCAGGATATATCAGTGCTTGCCATTTGTTCGCTCTCTGGGGAGCCCTCACCGGGTCCGGGCCCGTCAAACACTTTCCTGGGATGCAGAACAAGCCCCGCGGAATGGGTCCAAACCCTATCGGGGAAACTTTTTTTTGATTCGCGCGTCGAGAGCTCACCTCTTCCAGTCGAAGCTAAGCGGGCCGCGCGAAGCTTGAAGTAACAAAGAGGGGGGGACAGAAGGATAGGCCCCACGTCAAGGCCAGGCGGGGAAACAAGAAAGCACCGATACCACTGCTCTCCGGACCTACCCCGGGGCGCGGTCCGACCGGGATGTCGAGGCGCATCCTGCGGTGGCCACGAAGGCCCCCCAGGAGGCCCCAAAAGGGGAAACCGAGGGAAGGGTAGAGGTACGGGTACGTTTTTCCTCCTGTGACACTCTGGAACCCACGTAGAAAACGAAGGCACGGCGTCGGAGAACTGGGATCCCCCTGGGGCCTTCTCGATCCTCGATCCACTCGGAGCGGGGGGACCCTCGATCCCCCTCGATCCTCGATCCTCGACCCCTGGAGCCTTCTCGAGCCTCGATCCCCTTCAGGACCCTCGATAGCCCCCCCCGCCGCGCGCGGCCCTCGCGCGGCCCCAGCCCTGGCCCTCGCAAGGGGAAGGTCGATCATCCTCGATCCTCGACCTGTTTAGGAGGCAACTTAAGACGAAGCCAGGACGATGGTGACATCGGGTGGGGATACATCGAAGATCTCTGAGATCCGGCGGCTCTGGAAGATGTCTCGGGCGCCGCGGCCTCCTCAAAGCGTTCGGGAACGATCTGAGAGTGTTGCGGAAAACTCTGGAACGGATTTATTCTCTTGCACGGCTGTGCTCTAGAGCTTGGACATCTTTATTTTCGTCGTGGTTCGTCCCCCTCGGCTACTCCCCTGAGCCTGAGCCCCAACTCCCCTGGGCCACCCACCCTTCGGAGGCTTGCTCCGCCCAGGCTTCCCAGGACAGCCCCCCTGGGCCGCGGACGTGGTTCAACGTGGTTCGTCCCCCTCGGCCCCTCCCCTGAGCCTGAGCCCCAGCTCCCCTGGGCCCCCCCCCTTGGGACCTCCCTCCGTCCAGGCTTCCCAGGGCAGCCCCCCTGGGCTGCGGAACCCTTTATTTTCGTTGTGGCTCGTGGTGGTTCGTCCCCCTCGGCCCTCCCCCCCTGAGCCTGAGCCCCAGCTCCCCTGAGCCACCCACCCTTAGGAGCCTTCCTCCGTCCAGGCTTCCCGGGGCAGCCCCCCTGGGCCGCGGAACCCAGTATTTTTGTCGTGGTTCGTCCCCCTCGACCCCCCCCTGAGCCTGAGCCCCAGCTCCCCTGGGCCACTCCCCCTTGGGACCCCCCCTCCGCCTAGGCTTCCCAGGGCAGCCCCCCTGGGCCGCGGAATCCTGTATTTTGGTAGTGGTTTGTGGTGGTTCGTCCCTCTGGGCCCCCTCCTGGGCCGCGGACATCCTTTTTTTCGTCGTGGTTCGTGGTTCGTCGTGGTTCGTCCCCCTCGGCCCCTCCCCTGAGCCTGAGCCCCAGCTCCCCTGGGCCACCCCCCCTTGGGAGCCTTCCTCCGTCCAGGCTTCCCAGGGCAGCCCCCCTGGGCCGCGGAACCCTTTCTTTTGGTAGTGGCTCGTGGTGGTTCGTCCCTCCCTTGTGCAAGAGCCAGGGCACGCGTGCCACTTGTTTTTGTCCCAGCCCGGTCCGACAACTCCCGAATCTTCGAGGGAACACAAAAGACTACTGAGCCCGATTGAGGGCTACGACGCCGAGTGAGACTGGATTTAGCTACCCAGCCTGGGATGAAGCCAGACAAGGCGTGGCTGGAACGGCTTCGCCCGCGGACATGCCAGCGCCGCTGCTGCAGTCCACCTCCCTGGAGTTGCAGCCTAGATCCCCGATGCCCCTCGAGACTCCTCGATCCCCGATTGTCACAGGGGGGGGGGTCCCTGAGATCCCAGACGTCGCCTCGTCGACACCAGAAATCACAACAGTACATGAGTTGCAATGTTCGACCTTCGTAGGGCGCCTTGCCTGGCCCTGGGACCGTCAGGAACACAACTCGTGGCGCAGAGCAGGCCCAGGGGAAGGGCTCAATTCACCCGAGGGGGTCCACGTGGGGAAATGATCCCTGGGCTCTCTCTCGAGCACCGGGATCCCCTCGAGCCTCCTCGAGCCTCGATCCCCATGGAGCCTCCTCAAACTGCGAGCCGCGAGCCTCCTCGATCCCCTCCACGACGTCGGATAACTGGGATCCCTTGAGCCTACTCGACCCTGGATCCTGTTAAGAGCGGGGGGGTCCTCGATAATTAGGCGCCTCCGCCGCGCGGTTCTGTTGAGCGGCCCCCAGCCTAACGCCACTCGTGAAATATAGGCTCGGCTCGATCCCCAGGCCGCATGGCAGCCGCCCAAGCGGGGTCGCTGCGCGTGCGATCGAGCCGTGTCGGCGGGGCATCGGCGACGACGGGGCGGAGAACATCGGCCAACGAACTTCGGGGGCTGGAATCTGAACTGCGAGGCGGTCCCGCAAATCACTTACGGGACCTACAAGCATTCGGAAATCTGGCGCGGGCTCCCGCTGCAAGCATCGCACGAACTCTGGACCGTCAGAAAACCAAGCCGGGGCGTCGACGAGATTTCGGCAAGCACGAGTTCTGGCAAACTGGAGTGTTACAATGGAACTCTATAGTAAGGAGGGGTGGTAAGGACGCAAGTGCATTGGACGCCGAAGTTGACACTTTTTGGGCGGCGGACTGTCAACAACCCGAAGGTAGAACGCGAAGGACGGGCCGCAGAGGCAAAGACGCAAGGGTACCTTACAGACATTCGTGCGTCCTCACTCTGAGTTTTGACCGTGTGCCTCTCTATAGATCGGGGTCCTGATGGCGCTGCATCGCCGATGCACAGGCGATGCGGCGCGATCCGCCGGCCCCGTCTGCGTCAAGACCCCCTGTGGGCGGCATGGGCTTCAGAAGGGGGAAGCTCGGCTCGATCCAGGGCTTCGCAAACGGAGGCTTAGCTAAACGGGGCCTTAGGCTTTTCCATGTGCCCCCGTTTACTGTGCCCCCGCCTGAGGCGCCCAGGGCCCCCTAAACGGGGGCATCACCAAACGTGGAAATCGGCGTTCCCCGTGCCCCCGTTCGCTGTGCCCCCGTCTCTGGCGCCCTGATCGATCCTCCTCCATCCTGCCCCAGACCAGACATCCAGCGCCACTGGAAACTTGAGACGGGCTCTTCGCGCCACCGCCGGCCCCTGCAGGGCATCCCTGGGGCCGGCGGGGGAAGAGGGTTCGGGGCCGACGGGGCCCGGCGCTGGACAGAAATACATCGTCGGCTTCTGATGTCTGGGGCTCTGGGGCCCCGCTGCGTCACCGATGGCAGCGTCGGCTGCAGCGCGGTACTCCGAGCCCCCCCTCCGCTCCTGGGCAACACCTGCCCCTGCTCCTGCCGTGCTGGAGAGCACTCAAGCCTGGCCCTCCTGGATCCTCGGCCTTCCTCGACCTCCCTCGACCATCCTCGATGCTGCAGGTTCGATCCTACTCGACCCATCCTCGGTTCTCCCAGACTCGTCGTCCGGCCCTGTTGCCTCAGCTCGATCGGGGGGCGAAGACGGAAGCCCTTGGACCGCTGCGCGCCTCCCTCCCCCCGTCCTGCCCCCAAGAATCCAAGGTGCACTGTGCTTCCCATGATGGGCCAATTCTCCACCACCGCTGCCACATGTAGGACGGGGGAGAATAGAGGATTGGGAGGTCCTCCTCCTCCTCCGCCTCCTCCTCCTCCTCCTCCTCCTCCTCCTCCTCCCCCCCTCCCCCCTCCTCCTCCTCCTCCTCCTCCTCCTCCTCCTCCTCCTCCTCCTCCTCCTCCTCCTCCTCCTCCTCCTCCTCCTCCTCCTCCTCCTCCTCCTCCTCCTCCTCCTCCTCCTCCTCCTCCCTCCTCCTATCCTCCTCCTATCCCCTCCTATCCTCCTCCTCCTCCTCCTCCTCCTCCTCCTCCTCCTCCTCCTCCTCCTCCTCCTCCTCCTCCTCCTCCTCCTCCTCCTCCTCCTCCTCCTCCCTCTCCTACCTGTGGTAGTGGTGGTGGAAGATCGACCCATCATCGCAAGCGGCGCCATCCGGAAGTCCTTCCACCCCCTCTCCAGTCTTGGGCCACCCTCCCCCTCCGAGCTGTTGGCCCCAGGGCCCGAGACTGGCCCACCCAGGAGGCCGAAAGCGTCGCGCGCCGAAGGGTGGGGGGGCATGCAGGAACAGAGAGGGGTTGTTCCCCAAACAGGCGAGACGCTCTGTTCCCGCTGGCGGGGAGCGAGAAGGACGATGGTGATGTCATGATGCGGTCGACTCGGGATGCGTTCCAGGACTTCCAGCGCATCTGGCGGGCAGCTCGTGCAGACCATCCTGACATCTGGAACATCTTGGTGGCTGAGGAGGAGGAAGAGGAGGATAGGGAGGAGGAGCAGAAGGAGGAGGAGGAGGAGGAGGAGGAGGAGGAGGAGGAGGAGGAGGAGGAGGAGGAGGAGGAGGAGCAGATGGAGGAGGACGAGGAGGAGGAGGAGGAGGAGGAAGAAAAAGAGAAAAGCGAAAAGGAGAGAGGAGGATGAGGAGGAGGAGGAGGAGGAGGAGGAGGAGGCGGAGGAGGAGGAGGAGGAGGAGGAGGAGGAGGAGGAGGAGGAGGAGGATAGGGGAGGAGGAGGAAGAGGAAGAGGAGTTTTTAAACCCGCGTGCTCGCGCCCACGAGCGAGTGCCCCTGGTCTCGGCACCCCGAGCAAGCGCGCCGGTGGCGCGCCCGCCGCAGGGTGGGCCAGCGGCCTCAGCACGTGGCGCCGTTGCCTCCCGCCTGGGGCGACTTTTCGCCCGGGAGCTCACGGCGCGCTCGCGCCGGCACGACGACACGACACGACGGGGGATGGGGACGCGACACGACCGAAGACACACGACACGACACGAAACGCACGACAACGACGGGACGAGCCGCCGGTCCCGTCCCAGGGCGGCGAGTGCAAGGTGGGAATCCTGCACCGCCCTGGGGGAGGCCACGGGACCTGGCGACCCCCCTGGGGAAGGACGGCCGCGCTTATGGTGGCCGTCCCCAGGGTGCGGGGGCTTGTACCCTGAAGGCCCGGTGCTCCCCGCCTGCACCAGGGGGCACACAGGCCCGACCCCCAATCTTGGGGGACCCCTCCAGGGCGGAAGAGGAGGAGGAGGAGGAGGAGGAGGAGGAGGAGGAGGAGGGAGGAGGAGGAGGGGAGGAGGAGGAGGAGGAGGAGGAGGAGCAGTTGGAAAGCTTGCTCCTCTGAGAGGGGCCACGGCCGCGCGGAGCCCGCCCCGCGGGCCTCCAGCAGCGCGGCCCGCGCCCTCTCGCGGACGGCCTCCGGCAGCCCCGCGTCGCCGCCGCTGCCGTCGGACGCCTGGGGCGGACGCGGCGCGGCAGGCGGCGCGGGGGGCGCGGGCGGCCACCGCCGAGGCGCGAGCACGCAGGGCCCCAGCGATACCCACCACCATCACTTCCATTCCCCCTCCCTCCTCCCCTCCTCGCTCCTCCTCCCCCCCTCCTCCCTGAGGGGCAACGCTGGGGGGGGGGGGGGGGGGGGGGAATTGGGGGGGGGGGATGCAGCGACCAGGAATCGGCGATACATCGCCGATAGATCGGCGATAGGCCTCCGACAGTGAATCCGCACCTTCCTGGGCAGGCTGGGGCTATCAGTCCCCTATCGGCGATCAATTGACGATCGGGGGTTGATGTATCCCCCCCTATGCCTATCCCCCCTATCGTTGCCCCTGATCCCCTCCCTCCTCCCCTCCCTCCTCCCTTCCCTCCCCTCCTCCCCTCCTCGTTCCTGGGAGAGGGATGGGGTCAGGGAGGTGGTGGTGGTGGCGGTGTGCACCTGTCGGCCCCGCAGGGCAGCCGCTGCAGGGCCCTGGCCGAGGCTGGTGACGGGCCGAGGCCTTGACCTCAAGGGCCAAGGGACACACACACACACACACACACATCATACACACACACACACTAGCACACAAGCACACAAGCACACAAGCACACAGACGCACACGCACACGCACACGCACACACGCACACACGCACACACGCACACACGCACACACGCACACACACACACACACACACATCACACACACACACACACACACACACACACACACCACCACAGCACCACACCACACACAGCACACACACGCACACGCACACACACACACGCACACACGCACACACGCACACACACACACGCGCACCACACGCGCACACACGACACACGCACACACACACGCACACACACACGCACGCACGCACGGCACGCCACGCACTCACGCACGCACACGCACGCACACGCACACGCACACGCACACGCACACGCACACGCACACGCACACGCACACGCACACACACACACACACACACACACACACACACACACACACACACACACACACACACACACACACACACACACACACACACGCTCACAGGCGCACACAGGCGCACACACAGATCGTCTAAAAGGCTCAGGCAGGCTCAGGCCATTGACCTCACAGGCGCAGGGACACACACCCAAAGGCCCGACGTGAGGGGGTGACGATCGTCTAAAAGGCCCAGGGACACACACATAAAGAGACACACATCTCAGGATTCACTATCTATTTTCCTACATTTGGTCCGGGTTTTCGTCTTCCCCCCCCCCATTTCGCCCATTTCTCCCTCTCTTTCCCTGGGCATCGGCGATGCAGAATCGTGTCTGTGTGCTGTTTGTCCCCCTCCCGATGGACCTCTGCAGCGCGCGGGGGGGGCGATCGGGGCGGCTCCCCTGCTCCGGGCGAGCCGCCGACCTGGAGCCGGCGGCACACGCTGCCGAGGGGGTCGGCGGTGGGCGCCGGAGAGGGACGAGCGCGTTCCACGACTCGCAGAGGAACAACTCGCAGGGCCCAGGGGCACGCAAGTGACTACACACACACACACACATCCCAGGATCCCCGCATCTGTTTCCATACTTTCTGGATTCCCCCCCCCACACACTCCCCATGTTTGCCCATACCTTCCTGGGAGTCGACGATGATTTGTGTCCGTGGGTGTTTTTTTTCCCTCCTGAGATACATGACACCAAGGAAGACTGTTTTTTCTTCGGACGCTTGCGAGTACAGTCGGCCCGGATTAGTAGGTCGACCCTGCCAAATCAAGGGTGCCTTTTGTGTCCTGTGTCTCGCGACCCGTGCCTCCTGCCTTCCTACGGCAACGGGACCCTCGGAAGGGTCTTTTGCCCTCTCGCGTGTCCTGTCCAGGGAAGTCCGACGGTAGGCACTTTGCGAGCCGCGGAACGCGCCCGGTGACGATGGCGCCGCCGCGGGGAGGAGTGCGCCCCTGGGGGTCGGTGCGTCCCCACCCCCTCTGTCTGGGGACGCGCACGCGTGGACTGTGGCGACCCGTGGACTCGGCGCGCGGTCGCCAGATCCCTGGCTCGGCGATGACTGGACCGCTGGCTTGTTGGAGGAGGAGGAGGAGGAGGAGGAGGAGGAGGAGGAGGAGGAGGAGGAGGAGGAGGAGGAGGAGGGGAAGGAGGGAGGAGGGAG